AAGCCCTCCCCACCCGCCGCTCACCTGCCCCGCCGCGCTTCTCCTTCAGCTGCTTGGGGTCGCGGGCCAACTCAGCAATGCGGAAGGAGAGGTCTGAAAACTCATCGGTGGACTGAGAGGCAGAGAGAGATGCTCAGGGGAGAAGTCACGCAGTGGCCGAGACCGAGGCGCCCCGGGTTCAGCGCTGGCTACAGGGGGCTTTCCCGCTCCGGCTGCCGGGGGCAAGGCTCCCTCCCTCCACCAGCAGGGGAGAGGGACCAGCGCTTTTCCCCCACCAGGCCCAGTGGGGCACGCAGTACCTCATTCCCCGACCACCGCTTGCTGCCGCTGTCCACGCTGTTGAAGCCCGAGTCGAGGCCCCCATACTGGCGCGCTGGATAGAAGTCCTCCGGGAGGCTGAAAGGCAGGACAGAAGCAGAGGCAGCGACCGCATGAGACTCCGGGCACCACCAAAGCCCAAGGCCGCGCCGTTTCCTCTGACCAAAGGCTGACACCGGCATTGTGGCGAGGTACGTGAGGTGAGGGGAACTGCCTGGTGGCCCCCTCTGAGGCTGCCCTTGACCCCTTACCATGTGCCAAAGCCAGTGGGGCGTCCTTGGGCAAACTCTGCCAGGTCCGACCGGGCCTTGCTGCAGGCCTCGACGTTGAGGTACTTGAAGATGTGGATTTTGCCTTTCAGGCAGACCTGCGGGAAACGGGACCCAGTCAACTCCAGAAAGACCAACCGCGCAGCTTGGGAGGAGGAGCTGGGCCTGCACTGCCCGGCGAGTCCCGCCCTGGCCGGATTAGCCAAGATGAGGAGGGGATTTTCAAGGCCCGGGCAGACCCCTCCAGTCTGCGCTCGTTCAGCCAGCGAGTGGCCCAGCTGAGAGTGCCACCTCCCGAGACAGCCCAGGACGACGATGGGGCCACTGAGGCCGATCTAACGTCTGCACCAAGGAAGCGAAGAACAAAGGGTCAGGTCTGCTGGCGCAGGAGAGCACAGAGGGCCTTGAGGAAAATACGCAGCTGCCGTTAGTGAAACATGAGCTTAGCCTGGGAAGACAGGAAAGGAACTCAGGGCTGCTCCTCTTTGCTCTTTAGAGAAGGAAACGCTGTCAAGGTTTCAAGATCCTGCTGTTACACCCTGCAACAATAAAGCAGAGTTCCCGTATTTCTTGTGGGGTCTGTTTCCTGACCTGGCCTACCTTGAAGGGCTGGCCGCTGGATTAAGGGAAGCATGAATTGGATCAGGGCTGGCTTAGAAAGCACCATCTGGAGCCATGGCTGGACAACATGGCTTTAAATGGATGTGAAAGGGAGAAGCCATGCTCTGGGCCAATGTTTGCTTCAAATAAGCTACACTGAGTTTTCCTCCCTGTTCAGTAGAAAGATACAGAGATGCAAGAATAAAAGTGGGGATGGAACCTAACTTCATGGAAAGATCTGAAGGACAACAAATTAGAGGTACTATATACTGTGAAAACCTAGTCTGAATGAAGGGGTGAGGATTTCATATCTGCAGTTCCTCATAATTAAGACAAGTGAGTAAAATCCTGACTAGAGGTACGCAGCAAAGCGAGCAGAGGGGCTGACGATCCAGGGTGGGCACCTAGAAAGGAGCTGCACTTTTCCTGGGCCGGCAAGGCAGCGGCACAAGCTCAGGAAAATGACACTGAGCCCACACCAGACCCGAAGTACCTTTGCTGGCTGCAAATCTGAATACTATCCCCATCAAAAATTTACTTGCGTAAAGCATTCCTCTTCTGGCTATGGAAAAATGAAGAACTTGATTTATTTTATTTATTTATTAAATTAATTTATATAGCCGCCGATCTCCCCACAGGTGACTCTGGGCGGTGTACAACAAAGCCAAAAACAGTAAAAATTTACACTGTTATTGCTTAAAGGCACTGAGTTTGGAATTACTCTTTTCTCATGCTGCTGTTATAAGTAAGTACTCTGACATGGAGAAACAAGTTTTATTTTGACAGAGTACAAAACTCACATGCCTAATTTCATCTTATCCCAGTAACTTTAAAGTTTGTTTTGATTTTGTGCATTATTTTATTATAGGAACCTTTATTTTATTGAAGATTTTATTTTACCACTGCACTTGTGGAACTTTCACCTGAGCCTGAAACTAGAGCGGCAGATAATACGGTTTCCTTCACGCTGAAAGGTTTTGAACGCTTCGGCACGCTTTCAGTACGGAACAGGGTGACAAAGGCTTGAGTTTAATACAACAGCTTCTTAATAGGCCTCTTCCATTTCTTACTTAATCAGACTTCATGATTTACTTATTTAGCATGTATGATTATTGACTTGCTTGAGCCAATCATATTGCCATTGTTTAATCCACCATGCTTCAAACTGACGGACAATTTTAGGCCATCTTTCTGCTGTTTTTGCTATTATCCCCACACCATTTAGATTAATTCTTCTTTTCCTTTTTGGGCCATCTTCATTCCAGCACCAGCCGCCCTCAGCTCACGGACGCAGCCCAGGATGAAGGACTGGGGGAGCCTGACTTACCGTGCCCGCCCTGCCCTCCTTGCTCTGGGCACCCCAGATCCGAGACGCAGGAGGGGCGGAGGCCAGGGGAGCCTGCTGCAGCCTCAGGCGGGGCTCTTCCCACCGCTCCTGCAGGGGGCTCTGGGCAGCCGGGGAGGACGTGGCGAGCCACGATGCAGCACGAGCCACAGCTGGCCAGAGCACCACGCCCGAAGGAAGAGGCGAGGGCGTGTTGGGTGCCGGCCCCTTACCTGGGCAGGTGGGAACTGCAGGGGATTGTTCTCCAGAAGGATGCACTGGAGGTGTCGCAAGTGACGGAAGCAGACTGGAAGGCGAGCAACCAGGTTGCAGGAAAAATCCAGCCGCACCAGCGGAAGCTCAGCCAACTCTGAGAAGGCGAAGGGGACAGTAGGAAAGGCTCCAGGAGCAGCACCTGAGCCAGGACCCACCTGCCCGAGGCACCAAGGAGAAGGGGCCTTAGCCCAGGGAGCCAGCAGGCCAAGACTCTGACCTTCAGGCAGGACGGTGATCTGGTTCCGGCGAATGTTGAGATCCCGAAGAGACTCCAGTCCTCCCATGCTCCCTGGGAGCGACTGCAGCTCATTGCTGCTGACATCCTGGTCAGGAAGAAGCAAAGTGAACTGAGCGAACCCCCTGCCCCAAAACAGAGGCCCCGCAACGGCCTGGTAGGAAGCGGGCAGGCCAGAGCTGGACAGCCGCAGGCTGGCCGTCACTCAGGCTCCGCCAGTCAAGCGCCTTCCTGTTCCGATTCCACCTCCTCATGTGGGTTGCCTGTCGCTGCCACGCCTGGCCCGCCACTAGAGGGTTCTGCCTTGCACTGCAGCCACCCAGCTGCCGCGTGGATTTCTGCAGCCCAGGTACAGCGTCCCCACCCTGGTGGCAGCAACAGATCTCCCAGCTTGGGGCCTCGGCCCCTGAAAGCTTGGCCTGGTTTGGACTCAACCGTTCTCCGAGGGTCCCAGTTGCCCCCCCAGCCTCCGCAGCCGGCAGACTCACCAGTTGGCGAAGGCTGCTGAGGGAGCCAATGTCATCCGGCAGGGACGCCAGCTTGTTATTGCTTGCGATGAGGACTTTGAGGGGCAGGTGACAGAGGCAGGAGGGCAAGGTGGAGATCTGGTTCCGGCTGGGGGGAGGAAGGCACAGCTAGCCGAGAAGGCCTCTGCCACCGAGAGCCTGCTTAGTCCCTGGCAGAGCAGCACATCCGCTTGCTCCGTCTTCCCGCTCCGTCTCCCTTCCGCAGGGTACCTGATATTCAAGTAGGTGAGGGCCTGGAGGTTGGCAATTGCCGGAGGGAGGCTGCGCAGGCAGTTGTGGTACAGGCTCAGTCCTTCCAAGGACATCAGGTGGCAAGCATCTTCAGGCACTTCAGCAAAGCGATTCCGGGAGAGATCTGCACCGGAGGAGTGAAATGAGATTCCCAGAACACTTTCCTCAGAGACCCGCTGACCTGCTAGCCTGCGCGACCCGAAGAGGAAGATGCCCTGTTATGACCCGGCCCTTCCCCCGCCAGTCTGGAAGAATTTAATGCATTATCTCTGCAAGGAAGAGAGGCTGGTGTGGGGACCTCTGGGGAGACAAAGCCAAGAGGTCCTCCAATAAAACCCTGATTGAATGGGAAGAATTCGAGGGGAAAGGGGAATTAAACCTGAATTTGCATTAGTGGCACGAATTTGCATCATTTCTGCAACTGTGTCCATTGAGGCAAATGGCATAAAAACACTCACTACATAACTACATAAATGACAGTAAGATCACAGCCAAGGGAACCAGTTTGGTGCCATCAGTGGGAAAAGACCATGTGGAGCTTGACTCCAGTCTGGTCCCGTGAAAGGAATTCCCCAAACACTGAATTGTTCATCCCCTAATACTGTCTGAGCTGGGTTTAGGCTGCTGTGGGATCAACTGATTTACCCCATTGGTGCAAGAGCAACCCCGCTCAGCATGAGAAGCAGCGCAGGTGCGGACGCTCGCCTGAGGAACCGCAGGGTGAAGCGGCCATCTGCGTGATGATGACCGAAAGAAGGCCTTTAGGTCAGCGTCTCCCCAGATTAAAGGATCCCAGCGGGGCCCAGGGTGGAACGAAGCACAGCCAGCCCTCTTTCTTTAGAGAGAGGTTGAGCTCCGGAAGAGACCCGAGCGCCAAGCCAGCCCAGCCGATCAGCCGCCCCCGAGCCCCGTGCGAGGAACAGCCTGATCCCGACAGCCTCGGAGGCAGGTTTCCTGTTGGGCAACGCGTCATTTCCCTGGGCGGCGCTGGGCAGCGCTTCTTCACAGCCAAGCGGGGCAATCTCATTCTTGCGTCCACCTGCCAGAACTTTGGGGAGGGGTTCCCCGAGGCGTGTCGTATCTGAGTGCCCCTATCCACACCCGCGGCACGCTCGGGGGCTGTATCAGCTTCTGGGCACCGAGACAAGCCTTCGTGGTCGCTCCTGCCACCCCTGCCTTGTCAGTGCCGAGTCCGTTCCCTCCTCGCTCTGTGAGCCTCGGGGGATCCGTCTGCGTGGAGAGCGAGCCCGCTGAGTCCCCGTCTGGCCGTATATGGAAGAGCCCAAGCACGCTTGGCCATTCTTTTGGCGCCCGAGAGAAGCCCGTCCAAGGGCAGGTTCTGATGCCATGCTGAGAGCTCTTGGGAAGCTGCTCTTTAAAGTCACGAGCCCTTTGAACCCCACTTAAATCCAGTTTGCACTACAATGTTGGGACTCTGAGGTCCCTAATAATGGCTGACCCTCAATATCGCCCCTGAAGATACTGAAGCAGTTAAATGCTTTTTGCCCCACTTAACGTCACAGCATCTGGGACATCAGAGGGCAGCCTGTGCTCACAGGACGTTCTAGCTCTTGGTGACTGGAAATGGAAATCTTTTGCACTCCCTTTTTGCTTTGGAAGAGGTAAAAATACAACTGCCTACACCGTTTTTCATCTTTACATCCACCTCTTTCCCCAAAACTCGTGCTCTCTTCACACGCACCCCCCCCCCAGTCATCCTAGGACCTCCTTCCATGCCTTATTTGGCAAAGTCTAACTTTTCCAACCTCTTGCTTAAGTCAAATATAGTAATCTGTGTGCTGGAGGGGAGAGGAGGGGGAGCCTTCAGTTCTCTTTGGACTCAGCGTGCACAGGGTGGGGTGTTGTACAAGGAAACAATCTAATGTTTTGAACTTTAAATCACTCTTGGAGGTAATTCTCCTCATTTCTAAGAAACAATTTCAGTTTAACGAAACTGGGCTCCCTTGCTCCAGAAACAATGAATTTTCTTCTCACGCATCTCAGAGCGGATTCCCCACCCAGAAACCTGGCAGAGCCCCGGCCGAGCCAGGGAAGAAGGGCAACCGGCTGCAGCTCCGCAGGGGCTGGCTCTTTAGCCAGGGCGCTTTCAAGCCCCCTTCGCAGGGGCTGTTCCTCCAGGTGAGCTTCGTGCTTATTTGAAGCTGTTCTACTGGCCATTTCCAGCTGGATAAAAGGCCGTTTTTTTAAACGTACAATGCAAGTACAATGTTCAAACACGCAGCGTTTCAACCACAAGCCAAGCGCAAAATAACGGTCAATTAACTGCAGACAGGCCATGTGACTGGTCCTTCGCTGAGGGGTCACTTGAACCCTGCGCCCCGAGTCTTTCTGAGCACAAGGCCCTTTTCCCCAAAGCTTTTTGAAGTGACTGCTAAGAGAGGAACAGGGTGTCCACAACACACACTCAGGGGAGCGATTCGTAAGCACTGGTTGGGCTCTTTCACCAAGAATCCTTCCTGCCCCTCTCCCCCATCTCAAAAGGCTGGGTTCTTCCCCCTTAGCCATCTAATTTTTAAACTGTTCCTCTTCGACCATCAGGAGCCCGAAACCTTCCATCTAATGCAGACCGTCCCTAACGCATGTCACCTATCTCCATCCCCAGTGATCATGTGCAGCCTTTTGGGGGGGGTGATGGCAGCTGGTAGATGGTAGCACAGAGCCAACCCCCCATCCCAACATTAACAATAGCGACAGAACGGCTGGCCCACGTGGTTTTCCCTAGACACAGATGGCCACTGTCACGCGGAACCAGAGGGGAGGCGACCCAGGCACGGGCTTGTCTTCCAGGATCGCTTGGGCCAGTCTTCCCAGGGCGGCTGTGCCCCGGCAGGGTGCCAAAGCCTGCGGGCAAGCATCCCCGCAGCAGCTCTGACGGAGCCGAGGGCCTCCCTGGGAGCCTCACAGCCCACTTCAGCTTGGAAAGCAGATTCACGCCAGGCGCCGGCTGAAGCAGGGGCGCAATGTCCCCACTTTCACCAGCAACGATTTCACTCGACGCTTCCCCTCCCGGGCCCGGCTTTCTGTACAGTTCGTGACTCAACCAGTCTTAAGACACAACATGTGGCTCCCAAACAAGGGGCCCATTCAGTAGTCCTGGAAGTAAGACCAGAGCAGCCCTTGAACAGTCCAGAAGGGGAGACTCCTGCTTAGGTGCTGGCCTCCCCCCAGCCCTGCCCTGCCCTGAGATCGAGGAGGTGCCCGAGGCCACGTATCCACCGCCCCTGGTGGACAGCCAAGTCCAGCATCTTCCTGAAGGCCAGGAATTCCAGGGTGTTCTCTACTTCAGGAGGCAAAGCGTTGCACAGGATGGGGGCCTCCCCCGACAGACACGCTGTCAACCCCCCCACCTCCTTCACCCCACTTGGGGTGGGTTCCTCAGCCAGAAAGCAGAGAGCTCGTCAGGAGAGGCGGCGCTGCAGGTCTCTGGGAGCCCAGCCATGGAGAGCTTGAAAGCCCTTCACACTGGGCCCGGGAACCACTCGGCCCACGGCCCAGGCCCGCCAGG